ACCCCCCCCCCCCCCCCCAATATATTTTTTTATTCTCACAACATCTTGAACTTCAACAACTTCCCCAATTCTTCTAGCAAAAAAATATGTTCACTTAGCTATCTTAAATAATCTTCCACAAAGTAAAGATCATCCCTTTAATTTTTGCCAAAAAGAGTTGCAATGATTCTATATAAAATTCAGAATTATTTCTAAATCTTGTACAAAATAAAGAAACACTTTGCAGAAATCACCAAGACCAAATTTTTATGACAAAAAAAGTGTAGTATAGTAATAATTACACAGAAAAAAAAATGAAGTCTTACCGGCCATTCCAGCTGCATCTTTACAGATTTCAATAACTTGAGACGAAGCCAAAGAAACCATCAAATTTTGACACCACAAAAATCAATCTTTAAATCTCCAACAAGAAAAAACTCAACTCTTCACCGCACCAAACTATACTTCCATTTCCACGATATTTGTCAATATTTTAAAAAAATATACTTTATCTTTTTCGTTTTATAGGAATTTGTGTGATTATAAATCATTTCATTAAGACATTATTATGTGCAAGAGGGATGAAACAAAATAATCCTGAGATGAAAAAATAGTCCGAGATAAAAAAAAATTGTGTCTTATTTGATAATCATTTGGAACAACTTATCTCATCATTTATATATATAGTGGGATAACTAGATAGTTAATCCCAGAATAATTCTAGGATAACTTGTTTCCAATCAAATCGACAATCCTAAATTATTACTCCCTCCGTCCCATTTTATGTGGCAACATTTGATCGGGCACGGAGTTTAAGAAATAGATAAAGACTTTGAAATGTTTATCAAATTGCCCTTAAAAAAATAGACTTATTTTTCTCTCTCCTAATAAATGTATTGGAGTACTCTTTTTAAGATTAAGTGGACCAACAAGGATAAAAGAGGAATTGTACCTTTAAATACTTACCAAATAAGGAAATGTGACATTCTTTTTGGGACTGACCAAAAAGGAAATATTGCCACATAAAATGGGACGGATGGAGTATTCAATATAAAATACATTATTTTTTTTGGAACTATCTAAAGAAAAAAAGTGAATCATATAAACTACGAAATTCTTTTAAAAAAAAAACAAGAAGAAATTGATTATGTTTTTTTGGCCCTATAAAAATGTACATTTTTCATAACTTATATTTTAAGCATTAAATATGTCATTTATAGGTCCCGTTGTCATTTACAAAGCCAAAGGGGCCAGATTGTGACATGTTTTTTTAATGGACAGCGCGTGTGATATTTGGCACACCAGTACCTTTATATTTATTCTATTCTAACTCTCACGGGTATTATACTTGCGGCCCACCGAACCGCGAGTCATAATTTTTTTCTCGTTGAGTTAGTTTTTAAAGTGTGAGTAAAGTTTAAAATCTAATTTGATATGATACTAGAATTAGATTCATTATTGAGTCTGATATTCGGGGACAGCACTAGAGCCTTCTAAATAGATATACTCTCTGTTCTTGAATGTTATGCTTTGGACTAAATAGTGAAATCTCGAATTTTAAAAAATTGGATTGGAGATATCGAATCGAGATGAGATTACTAAACACCTTATAATTAAAACTACAATCTTACTTCTTTTGAATTAGCTTTTGAGTAGGGTTAGATTAGGTCAGGTCGAAGACCTGATTTAACTTTTATAATATTTAATTTTTCTCAAATCTTGTCAAATCGACTGTAATTCACAAGCTGATGGTGGGTCATTTGTTTAGTAAAATAGTAGTATTTATTTTGCTATCTTACTAAATTTTCCACATTTTTTGAAGTATTAACAAAACTTGCTTGTGTCTTATACTTATTTGCGACGAGTCATGATTTTGATACAATCTTTGTTGGATTGACAAAAATTACCTATGTAATTTAAGAGTGGGAAAGTCTTATAATGTTTGTCTGAAATAATAATACGAAAGTCATGTTTCAACTAGATATTTTTAATTTAAATTTTGAAAGAAAAAAAATTACACGCATTTTCAAATATTTATCAGATAGTTAAGCAAATCATATAAAACATGTTACCTCCGTTAAATTATACACATTGACCTTAATTGAAATCGACTTGAAATTTTACGACTTGTTGAGACTAATGTGTATAATTTAAAGAGATGACACATTTTAATTAACTTATCTACACAATACGTATTTGATAATACCAACACATTTTTAAAAAAACGAGGCAAACGTGTGTAATAGGAATAAGTTATTATGTGTTCAGATTCTCAAACAAAATATGTCATAGTTCGAATATCTAAATAAAATTTATTAGCTCAAAAAATTATCGATACTACCTAGTACCTACATATTTATCACTTAATCATGATCAAATTAAAATTATTTGATTTTATTAATTAATATAATATAAAATTCATGCAAGTTTGAAACATCCACATGAAGTAATACCAGGGGTGAATTTAAGTATAAAAAATGGATTATCAAACCTGTGGTCATTCGACAAAACTCGATATATGCTTTGTATAATTCTTAAAACATATCAAATATTAAATAAAGGAACCCATCATCACAAATGGCTGGATGATTCACTAGTTTTACTGTTGGTTTTGATGGTGAGGCTGAGGGATCGATTCCGATAACGTCTTTTTAAAAATTAATTTTAAAACACCATTATTTATTATTTTTTTAAACAAAATAATTTAAAAGCTTGAGAGCTCTTAACTTTTTTTTTGAAAAATTTTCATTTTCTTTTTATAAAGAGTACTTTTAAAATTTCTTGAAATGCAAAATTGCATGTTTTTTTTATAAATGGTTTCTTTTAATAATTCCTTTTCAATCGATAATTCATATAATCAATACATCTAATTTTTCTTGCGATATAGTACTTGAGATATATCAAACTTTTAAGAAATTTTTCCTTTAATATATTTTTTTTTCCGCATATCATTATTGTTGAGGCCCTCAAATTTGGGAGCCTAAAGTAATTGTCTTTTTCTTAAAATCATGAGGATAGTATTTTATCATGATGTCGGATCCTAAATTTTTATGAAGGGGCAGAGCCGCCTCGATAATGATGCACCAGTCTTTCTGAAATCCTAAAGCTGCCCCCCGATAATGATGTATCAATCTTTCTGAAATCCTAAATTCGACTCTGAGTAGTACCTGACAAATCTCCAGAAAGTACCCTATTTCCAAAGGCATTTTCCACCAGACAGGGAGACAAATAAACCAAAAAATAATTACAGAGCAATTTCTTAAGGCAGAGAACATGTTGATATTTTTAAATCGAAAGAGTGACAAATGATTAAGCTAAATTACTCTCTGTTTACTTTTAGTTGTCCACTATTTCAAATATAAATTTTTATTTTTATTTATCATTTATCATTTTTCACATGATATCAAGAAAAGACAATTATTAATTTTTTTTTCATGTTTTCCTCTTAACATCAATTAAGGATCGATTAATAGGGAATTCGGAATAGTATGGTAAATTAGTCATGTCAATCTTAATAAGTATGTCAAATCCAAATATGACAAGTAAAAGTGAACGAAAAGAATAATTAATTAAGTATAATCATATTACTTGCTATATAAAGTTGTTTGAAACACAAGAATAAAACACGAATACGTAACATTAGTTAATACTAATAATTAAAGGGTAATGCTAAATGGCCAGAAATATTTGGCCAGAAATGTAAAAAGACTAGAATATCCTTGTTTTAATTTTTGCATTTATTTCCTCAAAAACTTTTCCCTCCAAACAAAACTAACTTTTTTATATTTCCCAAACTCCTTGAACTACTAAAACACAAACTATTTGGCTGCCAAGGAAAGTGAAAAAATGTTTTTGTGTGCGTATAGTTTATTAGATTTTATTTTTTTAAAAAAATAAAATTAATTGTTTAGTTAATAAAAAAATTGTACGCTTTAGTTAAAAAAAAAAAATTGTAATTTTGTTTTTATACATTAATATGTTTTTCATTATATACCAAATTATGTTCAACATATACATAACATACATTCTTTCCTCTACCCCTCCCCTGAACTCAATTATGATCATAAGGTGCCAACGCATACCTTTGAAAAATTATTTTTTCGCTTAAAATAAACTTCTTTATTGAAAAGAGACAATTAAATTTCTCATTAATAATAACTACAAATGACTATCTTATCTACTTAAGATTATACTTAATTATTTTGTAATATAAAATTAATAAAATATAGTAATTAAGCATAGATTAAAAGAGTTTAATTAATTTTTTCTTTAAATATAATCAACTAAATAGATTAGT